AAACACTGCTCTCAAAACTGAGTATTCTGTGTGCACAGGATTTTTGAACAGTAATTTCCTACCTCTCAAATAAGCATGCTATATGTACATCCCTGAAAGGCAGAAACCCTCTTAGCGGCAACATTGTCATCTCTGCAGTGTTTTTTTTTTTTTTTATCAATTTCCTTCTTGCTAGCAGAGAAATGCTAAAACTGTCAGATATTATTTTTCATGACCTCCTCGGCAATGACTATAGTTTCTGTCTGTTGGGAGATCCACAAGGGAAAATATGTGCCTGTCTCATGCCATAAGATAGCTGGAAAGAGCACAGATGAGACGTTATGAACTTGTGCATCCTTCCAGGCCATAGCCCTGAGGACAAGCAGTTAATAGTCACACCTGCACTCCCTCGTGTTGACCAGAGGAAGAACACATTCAGGTCTGCTCTGCACAAACCAGAAGATACAGTCAGTCTCTTGAAAAGCATTTTAAAATAGAAGCACAACTTTTCTCCCGGTATTGTGCCTCTGCTCTCATCACCTCTTCTGCGCTTTCAGCCTGTGACATTTGTGCAAGTGCAAGTAGGATTTTAAAGGAAACTTCTACAACTTGCAATATCCCAAAGCTGGAAGGTGAAAGAATGTGAGTGGGAATTACGCTAATTCAATATCATTAAACAAAATGTGCTGAGGTACACGTATAATTTTTAGCATGTCACATTAACAAATGTTTCCACTGTTTTTCCTCAGCTTTTTCTTGGGGTTATGTACATTCTGTACTGTATTCTGGTAAAAACTAGCAATGTTGACAAGATAAGTGCTACAATATTCAGGTTATGTCAGAGCATTAAATCTCACCCTTTACTTTTCTCTCCATTCCACAGATTGACCTTATTTTGTTTTTCCTTCATATCTCCTTTTCCTTGTCAAAGCACACCTCAATTTCAGCTGTATTGTTAGATTTTTAAGATTACCACAATCTCCTAAACTATCTTTTCCCTATGAGGGAGCCACTTTTCCCTCACATAAAACCCTTCTTTCATGCAGCACTCTGTAAAGCTTTGTGATACCTTCCTATACTTCTACTTCCTGATATAGCAAAGATTCTTTGCTGTGTATTACAGCCCATGACCCAGACCACTATTGCTGCAGACTCTGAGAATTCCTATTAGCAGTGAATTGTGGGTCTCTAATTACTGCTGCTGCTGTGCCCTAGAAGGTCATCTGGTAGCACAGATTTGCTCCAGCTGAGCACAGAATAATCTTTCTGCCAGATTATCTGGGAGACGAGACAGAACTTGCTGCTGTGTGCTATGGCCTATTGCCCTGTACCTGGCTCGCGCTGGACTCTGCCAGGCAGACTACGTAACGTGGACCTTGTTGCATGGCGGGGATGCGTGTGGTAGATTGCTTGAACTAGCTGCCTGTTGCCAGCATTAGCTGCCATCCTGGGAGAAGCACCAAGCCAAAGCCACTGGGTGTCACTCGGACTGGGAAGCCCCATCCTGCTCCCCATCTATCTCTGTGGTGTCCTTCTCTCCTTTCTTTCCTTTGGAAGATGCGAGTTGTCCTTGAACTCGGGGAAACCCAAATGTTCTCCTGGAGAATCTCTGTTCAATACAGGAATAGTTTCTGCATCTTAGTTTACATAGTGATGATTCTCTGTATACCGTGGAACAGATGCTCTGCGCTCAAGGGGCGCTCGCTGCTGAGAGCCTTCTTGTGAGCCCAGCTCAGAGCCTTTACCCTGCCCTGCAACAGCTACTGAGGTGCAGTACTACAGGGGCACGTGAGCAGAGATGTTGTGCTGGACTCGATCATTCCCCAAATTCTCAGATGGGTCCAGGCATGCCAATTTCCTCCTCCCCAAGCTAGCAGGCCCAGTAGCTCTGCCTGGTTAGACTGCACCGGGCTGCCTGAGGGAAAACGTCAGGAGGATGAGGAAAATCATCAAGTATGCAGTCTGCATTGCAGCCCCACTATATTTGCCCTTAGTTTTGATTTTGGGACAGATAGTGTGTTATCAGCAGTTCAAAACTGCTTTAATATTTCTATTTGTAATGGTTAGGTCTTATATGGCATTTTGAAACTTAGTTGAAGTCATTCAGTAGGAGGTTTACAAAGACTCAGGTCTGGATTTTTTTAAAAAATGTGAAGGTGCTAGGAATTAATCTACTTAAAAAGAGAAGTGATATTCAGGGTCCCTAACCTCAGGCCACTGAGAGTGAAAACAGGGCAAGAAGAGCCCATGGCTAGCCAGCATGTGACATGAGTGTGGTGGATGACATTGTTCCAGCTAAAACTGCTTTGATGAAGGTTCCCCTCTGGCAGGCTGTGGGGATCTTTGTGCTAACAGAGCCACTTAGCACCCAGCTCAGCATCCCACCAACTGCCCGTGGTGTTTTACAGGATATTCAGCACCCTATAACCAGATCTATTAGCTTTGTGGAACCAAGGTTGAGGCACTTTGTAGGACTAAGGTCATAGTGTTTTAAACAGCTTGAATCTCTAAATGCCCAGGTTACCTTTAAAAAGCATTCCTTGCTTGCCCCTACACCCTGTAAAAAGGGACTGAGCACAGTAGTTAACCTAATTGTCTGACTGTGTGTTACTAGCTCAAAGGGTAATTATAGCAGCTATTGTTAATTAATAGTATTTCTCACTAGCTGAAAAACAGATCCTTGTTTTTTTCCACAAAGGAAGAGTCTTTATTTCAGAGATCCTGATTTCCTTTAATAGGCTTTAATATATACATTAAGCAACAGACTATTAAGGATAACATGACCCTTTAGATGTTGATCCTTATCGTTGTGTGCATGAGTATAAATGAGCTCTTTCTGTGAAGTGAAAGAGAATACAAGCATAGCTTGTTCATAAAGTTTATGGCAAAGAAAACTTTCAAAACATTACTTTTAGCTAAACAATGATTTATGTAAAAAGGTGTTTTTTTAAGAAAAAAGCATTCTTTCCATGTATTTGCTCTCACCTCAGATACCTCCTCAAGAGAATCCCTTAAAGGAATTGTCTAAGTATTTTTGGGACAGTAGCTTTGGGTAAACAACACATTAAGATGGATAAAGTTTTGGAGAAAGTTACGGATTAAGAGGCTGAGGTCTGCTCTCTTTTTATTAGAAGCAAGGTCACCACCTTCTTTAATCAGGACCTTGGTTCTCTCCAGGGAGTTACATTACCACACTAGGGTTTATATGGGTAAATATACATCTCACAGCTGAGGACAGCATACTAATGTACCTTCCTGTATTCAGTGTATTAAATCCTACGCTGGTAAGCATTATAAATTTAAAAAGAAAACACGAGTAACTCCCCTTGAGGTCCAAGGTCCTCTTACAGCCTGCTGTGAGGATCCATCAATTAACATGGATTCCTTTATGATCAAGGACTACAGTGAATTAAGATGGGGGACATGGTAGTTCAGCTTCTCCTCAGCTCTAGGACCACTTTTCTTCTATTGCTTGTTCTTTTCCCCCTTACAAATAGGGGAAAGCAGATGTAGCTCTAGTCTGTGGTTCTCAGGTTGAAACCTAATTCTGTCTTAAAGTGGAAACTTACCATTAGTTACTTTACAAGTCTTCTCTGATAATGGATCATTAACTAGGTCCTGAAATTAAGCATAAATTAAAAATTTCTGCTTTAATTGCAAGTATAATATGAAAAGGAATTCCTTAGGGCGATAACTGATGTTACAACTTTGCTTTATGGCTACCTTTGATCCTGATAACAATACTGTTATTGAAACCTTTTATCCCTATAAAAGTAGGGCTGATAATTGAATGTTTTGGTCCCTAACTGGCGAGGCGCCAAACGGCCTCCAGTTAATGCACAGGACAGCCACACCAGGGGGTCATTTCTCCTTTTTAATTTCAGTGCTGCCTCCTGTCCTGCCACCCTGGGCCCCTCTTGCCCTGCAGGCCCCTGGCTGTCCCAGCCTGCACTGCAGCCCCGGGCCCTTCCCGGCCTTGGAGCAGCGCAGCCTCCCCGCCATTTTGGAGCGTGGCTCGTGCCCTGGCTGGGACACAGCTCTCGCCTCAGCTCTTCTTCCCTGTGTGTCCTACTCTCAGTCTTCTTCCCTAAGTGTGGTGTACGTAGGTGTATATGAATGTGTGTCTATATAATATACACATAGTCTTTTTTAAAAAAAAGGCTGCTGCTGCAGCGTGTTTCAGTGCTACTCCTCTGCACGGCGCTGTGGTGGCTGGGGGGAAGCGTGG